AATGATTCAGAGAGATGCACACTTGCTCAGAATATGGACAGGGGAAAAAAACTGTGGTACAATCAGAATGGTGCTGCCTGGTCACTTAACCACTGCCAACCACTCCAAACACTATTAGCAACAATGACGATATCAACCTTGACACATTGTGCATAGTTACAAATACTTTAGTTTGGTTTTCACAAAGAAAAACAGTATTATTCTTTGTTGCAACATCACACATAGTCACAATTTTTTTTCTTGTGATGAGAACCTTTAAGATCTAATCGCCTAGAAACTTTCAAATATATAACACAGTAATGTTAACAAGTCACCGTAGATGTTTTACAGTCATTATGCCATTTAATTCTCATATAAGCAGAGTATTATAATCTATAGTTTATAGATGAGGAAACTTAAGCTCAAAAAGATTTAAGTGGCTTAGCCAAGGTAATACAGCTAATAAATGACAAAGCCAGAGCTCAAAACTCAGGTTTATCTGACCCAAAAATCCATTACCTTTCTATTGCACTACATTGTACAGTATTAAAATGAATCTACTAAATTCTATTATCAACTACATTTCTGATAGTCATTCAAAGTATTTGAGTTTGATGTTAAGAGAAAAAGCTACATAACTATAAATGATAACCTTAGCATATAAGGCTTTTACTATGTATGCTTATGCTTTTAGGGCTCAGTATAGAGCTCTAATTCATCTGAATCTAGGATGTAATGAGTTAAGTTAAAACATTAATCCACTGTATTAGGTTAAACACTAAAAATTCCTACTAAAATGATGTCTCACTCAGGGGAAGCCACTTCAATTCTCCTCCGGGATACTGGGCAGCACAGAAAGTGTTCGATTTAATTAGTTGTGTATGTAGAAAGAGATGCTCATCTGTTTCCATGGAGGCAAACACATCACTGACATACTTCTCCATGGAAACAGAGAAGGGAAAGTAGAAAATGCTACAGTGAATGAATTCACTGAACAGTTGGTGAGCAAAGATTCAAGAAAAACATAATTCATCTGTAGTACTATGTTACTAGTGCTACCTAAAATACACAATACATTGAAATTTAAGATGAAAGTTGTTATTTTAGTAGGAATATACAAATGTTGGGAAATAACACAGAGCAAAGGTATTGCTGTTTTTGCACAGAAGATATAATGGCAGAATTCTTAGACATGAGCAGTGTTACAGCTCAAAGTCATTAATGAGACAAGGTGATAGAAAACACAGGGAACCAATTTATAAATAAATTTATAAGCTTTATAATGGTTTCACATCATCATTTTGTTTGTTTTTAAGGATTTTTTCTTTGGGGGTATAAAGTTACAGAAATATTTCAAATTTTATTATGTAACACATTAGTTATTTTGTATGACTGAACCTGTATATGTGTTCTTAATTTACAACATACTGCATGTTCTGTTTCTTTTCAAAATTATACCTTTTTTTTAATCCCCACCTGAAGATATTTTTCTATTTATTTTCAGATAGAGTGGGAGGGAGGGAGAGAGAGAGAAATATTGACATGAGAGAGACACATTGACTGGTTGCTGCCTGCATGACCCCGACCAGGGCCAGGGATGAACTGCAACCGAGGTACAAATCGAACCCGCAACTCATTGATCCATGGGCCGAAGCTCTAACCATTGAGCAAAACCGGCCAGGGCTCAAAATTATACTTTTCATTAATATAATAAAAATTCTTTTTATAAGGTATTTCCTCTTAGGTATTCTGACTTAAATTTTTTTCCCTTTGGAATTTAGTCCTAACATGTCCTCTCAATACAACTCAATTCAATTCAACTCAATGCACATTTAATCCTGGCCCTTAACATGATTATAGACTTCTTAGAAGGTAAGATATATAAGAGAATGATTATAATATATATTCACTCTTTTAACAAACATTTCTATTGTGCCTACCATGTTGACAAGTACTGTGCTGAACTTTGTGGATATAGTGAGAATTAAACAGACACTGTCAATACTCATGGAGGGTACTAGTTTATAGAGGAGAAACATAGTTATACAGTTACAATCTGAGACAAGGTCTATGAAAGAAAACTACAGTTCCAAGAGAGAACACAAAGAACAAATTCACTGAGATTGGATGGTTAAAGTAGGCCTCTTTAAAGAAGCAGCTTGAATGCTGAGATCTGAAAGATGACTAAGAGTTAGTCAGAGAATGGGAGGACAGTATTTCAGGCAAAAGTCCTGAGAGGAAACGGGCTTGGCAGGATTGAGAAACTGAAAGAAAGCAAGTTTTTCTAGTATGAGAGTGGCGAAGGGTAAAGATGGAGAGAGGAAAAGGTATAGGTACACTTCAAAATTTTATTTTAAATACAATGGGAAGCAATTAAAGAGTTTTTGAGCAGGAAAACAACAAAACTATACTCACAATTTTCAGTATAAGTAGACATGGAAAGTTTAGCAAACAACAACAACAACATGGAATGAAACTATAGTGTTTAAGATCTATATCTAGGTGGTAAAAGTCAAGATAGCAAATTACTCCAAGGAGGAGGAAAGAATGTATTAGGATCTTCTGGGGGACCGATGTCTGTTTCTTGAGTGGTTACATGGATGTTTGCTTTGTATTTTTTTGTTAAACTGTACAAGTCTTATGTATTGCTCTACAAGTATATTTCAAAATAAGAAAATATGTTTTGTTTTCCTTTAATCAGAGTAGTAGAGCAGTGGAGACGACTACAAACAGCTCAAGAAGCCTGGTTTGGTGAGGGAATGATAGATAATTGCCTCCATATCCACTGTCTGGTTTTTATTTTCATGAACTGAGCATCCTGAGTTTAAACTGGGTGTGACACCATCCAGGGAGAGCTATTTTTTTAGCCTCTTTTGTTCTAGGTGTGGCTCTATGTCTAAGTGCAGTCTACCTTCTGCATGAGAAATTGGTTTCCTGCTGGCTGGGCTACGACTACAATGTATCTGCCTTCGACCCAGAGAGGGAAGCCACATGTTGAGAATGGCTGAGCCAAGCCCTAACAGCATCCCTGGATGATTTTGTGAAGCAGAAATGCCTATCTACCCTAGTCTGCCCAATTACCTTTGTACTATACTTGTTATTTTATTTAAGTCACTGTTATAGCAGTTTAGTCTTTGCACTGAAACAGTTATGAGGGAAAGTTGAGATCTATGGCAATACCTAGGTGGGGATGAAAGAACATGGAAGGGATTTCTAACTAATGGAGACAATAAAACATGTTTAAATATTGATGGGAAGAATTAGAGTAGAAGAAAAGGTTGAAGATGTAGTAATCTGAGAGTTTTAAAAAAAATGGAGCAAGGTCCCTGAGAAGATAGGAAGAGACAGAGCATGTGTGGAAGAACTGACTTTTGACAGAAAGGAATATTTGCTCTGTTTTAGCAGAAGGAGAAGGGAAGATGGGTGCAGAGATAGGCTGATTAGTAAATATGTTGCTGAAATATGAGAGAGCTCCTATTTAAGGTATTCATTTTCTGCCGGAAGCATAGGTGAGCATGGAGGGAGGGAGAACTGGCAGTCAAGGGTTGGTAGTGAGAAGGTAAGAAACCTTTATTATGGAGAAATGTGGTATTATGCGCAGAAAGTGTTGAGTTACTATTTGAAGTGGGTAATCATGAATTTAGGGTGTTACCAATCTCCCAGACAGGTTAAATTGTTCAGGGGTTGGCAGAAGTAGGTGGATTAGGTCCATCCAGAGCTGGGATTGCAACAGCCAGGTGGAACTGAAGGTGAGGAGAAAAGGTAATTTTCCAAGAGAAGGATTTTAATAATAGACCATGGAATCAGGGCCAAATATGGGGGAACATAAAGACAGGAGACTGAAAATCGAAACTGAAAAAGATAATATAGATTGCGGAAGTCTCAGTGATATTAAAAAACTATTGTTCTCATTAGTAGGTGAGTTGAAAGGAAAGGAGTTTTAGATGAATGGTGGAATGTTTGAATGAATAATTTGGAGACAGAAAAGATGTCAAGTTCCAGAGAGTAACTGTGAATATAGGAAGCTGAGGTGAAGCTGAGGTATCAGGTGATAACATCCTTAACAGAGAAGAGAAATCTTCATAGTATGTGGTATAAGAATTTTGTCTTTAAAGATAAGTAGGAGCTTATTTAGTAGAGAAGAAGGTAAGGGGAGAGAAGGTATTAAAGAGGAGAGGGAACAGATGTATAGGAAAAGTAAGACAAAATTCATGGTATATTGGGGAATAGAAAGCCTAGCCAGAAATTAGGGTACATGGGTAGAAGTTCTTGGAGAAACTGGAAAGGTAGGAGAAAAATAAATTTTGAAAAATAGGTATGAAAGTTCAAGTAGTGTGGATTTTATTTTAAAAGCCCAAGTTGTCAATCATGATATCATCAGACACGACACTGGTGTGTAAAATGATCACAAATAATATACATATTTAGTTTATTCATTATCTTTAGGGCTAATGACTTATGAACAGGTAAATCTCTGGGTTTTATGACTTTGAAAAATTTATACCCATTTTGTCCTTTGTATCTCTCTCCTACTGACTTTGTTCTCTTTCTAGAACTTCTATATTGGACCTATCTCTATACATATTCTAGGTAGGACACTGAATCAATGTAAATCAATCAAATCAATGATAAGGGGACCACTGAATCAATTTTAAATCATTGTAATATAAATTATTGTAAATGTTAGTACTTTCAGTATATATTAAATGTTAAAAGGTCATTGTTTACTATCTCATTCTAGATACCTGTTATTACAAAGATGTATTATCTTAGCACCTTAGCATACATATTCAGATTCAACACCAAATACACAGATATTTCTCAAGTACTTTTCACCTAATTCTAATCCATATTTTTAAGTTTCAGGACTTAGTTAATTTCTTGTTTGAGTCCTGGAACAAAATGTAAATAATAATGCATTTCCATTAAAATGTGTAAGTACACTGCAAATTAAAACTAAGATTAGCAAACTTCCTTAGGACAAAGTTATTTTTAAAGTTTCTGTATTTACAGGGACTTACCTATGATGAGCCTGTGAAGAGCACCCTTGTCTCCATTAATAGCAGCAGCATGAACTTGGGATGCTAATGAGGAACCAGTAAAGAACAAGTTCTCTGTCCTATTCATAGTCTTCTCAACAATTGTAGCAACCTGAAACAATGATTTAAGCCATGAGCATATGCAGGAAACATTTCTGAAAGCTGTCTCATCAGTTGTAAATGGCATATTATAAATATAGTTTACTAGAATAGGTGACTAGGATTAAAAAAAATCTGTAGCCCTAGTCCTAGAATTGCCATAATGTAGCAAATTAGGTGATCCTTTGTACAAGTTGCTCATCTTTTTTTTTTTTTTAATTATTTTTTATTAATTAATTTTTGTTACAGATGTTTCTCCTTTTTCCTCCACTGATTCCCCCCTCCCCCCCCCCGCCCTTTCCCCAGTTTGTTGTCCACAAGTTGCTCATCTTTAAAATAAAGGGTTAAATGCTCCTAAGACCCTTCTTAGAGGCTGAGGAAAAAAAATGGGGGGAAGCTTGATATTTAACATTAGGCACAGGGCCCCCAAACCACATTGATTTCTAAGCTAATACTATTAATTTGATTCCACATAATATTAAACATTAGAATTGATATTGGGAATGAAGGTAATGACCAAGCCACAAAATAAGTATGATGTGAACTTAATTGTTAGGTCAGAATTAACTAGATTTAAGTGCTAAGTTAAAAAGTACCTAGTTCTTTCTTTCATGCAAATAAAAGGTGGAATTTTAATTTGGTGTCTCCTTGTGTTCACCAGATAAATATACCTAGCTCGATATTCTGACCTTAGGATCTTACTTGGAACACCACATCATTAGAATTAACCATATTTCATTAAGAAAAATTTTGTTCTGACTGGTGGTATGATATGGTTGCTAGAACTGTCTAGGAATGCATTATAGGCATAGCAAAATAGTGAGTTCTCTATCATGAGTGTTTAAGCAGAGGCTGCTTCTTATAGGCATTCAACTTTGATTCAACAGCTTATGTTTAGGAAGGAAGTTTAAGTTCATTGTAAGATAAATTTATCATTACTGATGAGCTAGTACTTGTGTTGTCGTCTTTGACAAGGGTTTTTGGTTCAAATTCGGCCTTAGAATGAAAGTGTTTTCTTAATTTCGGTAAAGGTCACCTTTTCATGTCTTTATTTTACATGGGCGTTGTGAGACACACCTGTCGTGTCAGAAAAACCACTGCCATATGCAGGATTATATTAAAGTAACTTGAAAGAAGCTACAAAACGGGGGGGTGGGGGGGGCGGGGGGGGTAGAAACACAGTAGAGGAATAACTGCACTGGGGCTGTAGGCCCTGTTCTATTAATAACAAGCAGTGTGCCCTTTGGTTACCTCAGCTCTCTGACTTTCTGTAAAATATGAAAATGGACAAGGTAGACCATGTTGACTCATTCAACAAGTTAAGTACCAACTATGTGCTAAGTATTGTTCTGAACTCTAATACATGTCATTTTAGATTCTAAGTGATCATAGTTTTAGGCCCATCAAAATGAAAAACACACAAACCCCAAATTCTTCATACTCTTTGAAAATACACTAAAAAGTAATCTCATTTATATATATTTCACCAACAGACACGTAGCTGATGTTCAGTAAATGTTAGTTGAGTGAAGTCAGTCTAGGTGCTAAATCTAGAGTAAGCAGGATCAAAGTTTCTTGGAGTAATGAGTTCATGGTGATGAGTATCTGCTCTTTTTAAATTATCCATTTCTAGCTCCTCTGTCAGAGAGGTAGAAGAGTGGTATACAGGAGAGAGCACTGGACTAGCAGACAGGAAACCTAACTAAAAGTTTTGGTTCTGCCACTATCTAATTTTGTCTCCCTAGGAAAGTGACTGTCTAGGGTCTTTTTTTTTTTTTTGGCTCAAATGTATTTTTTTAAGTGCTATTGTCTTCTTGTAATATTTATAGATGAAATCAAAACCACTTCGTTAATTATATAATGCTATAAAATGCAAAGGTATTGTCATCATAACTAATTATAAAACAAGCCTGTATAATAAATGGTTTAATAATTACAACTGTATAAAACTAGCGGTGCCATAGTCATAAGCAAGGAGGAGTAATTCTGATTAGGACTCAAGAATTGGTTGCTTGGGAAGTTCTGGAACCAACATTTAAGATGAAATTCCAGATAGAGATGGGGTTAAGGCCATTCCAGGCAGCAGGAAAGCTGGAGCAAAGGCAAGGCATAGGGAGAACCACAAAAAAAGCAGAATTCCTCCAGGATCCTTAGAAGTGATTGTTTGGCTACTATTCGGGGCACGTGACCCAGCTGGGTGTTTGTATATGAGGCTGGACAGCTAACTGGGACCAGGTTAAGATCCTCAACTGCTTGGCTAATGAATTTCTTAATTGTCTTGTGGGGAGCGATCATGCATTAGCAGCAATCACTCTCCCACTTTAGCTTTTTGGTTTACAACGTGCTTTCCCATGCTATCCCATATCTATTTCTTATACGAGCCCACAGAGACAATTAGAGATAAAGCCATTTACTTATTTAACTGAGGCCCTGAGAAGTGGCTCCGACTTTGTAATGCAGGAATTAGCGTAGAAAGAAGAGGCAGCAGGCGGGGAGGCCAGTGATGGAGGCTCAGGCCACTGCCCAGGCCAGGAGGGCCAGGAGTCTCAGGCAGGGGCCAAGGCAATGCAGATCGATTGGAGCTTCCCCAGTCAGGCACCATACTACTCACCCTCGCCTCCTCCAGGACTCACGTCCCGGGGGCGGCTCCAGGAGGCACGACCCTCACTGGGCCGCCCCTCCCTCCAGGACTGTACACTACATCCGGCTGGGGCAAATCCCCGCGGCGCTGAAACTAACTGAGCCACACCGAAGGCCGGCGGACTCTGGACCGCCCAGCCTTCTGGGAATTGTAGTTCTCATCCCCCGCGAAACACCCGCTCTCCGCCCTTTTTATCCCACAGAGCCTCGCGCGCAGAGAACTCGGTAGACCTGGGCTGAGAGCCCGATGGGAAAGGAGTTCTGGATGCCCGATGACGCGCTTAGTGAAAGTTGTGCAGGACTACATTTCCCGACGTGCTCCGAGGTGGGCAGGACCCGGAAGTGAGGGTTGAGAGGCCTCTCTGGAAGTTGTCCCGGGTGTTCGCCGCTGGAGCTCCGGGTCGAGAGGACGGGGTGTCGCTGCCGGGAGAATCCTCCGCTGCCGCCGTCTCCCGGAGCCCAGCCCTTTCCTAGCCCAACCCGACCCAAACCTACCCAGTCCCAGCGGCCAACGCCTGCCTCTGCCGCGGATTCCAGCGTTACCATGAATCCTGCCGTCTTCCTATCCTTACCCGACCTGAGATGCTCCCTGCTGCTCCTGGTGAGTGAAGGAATGACAGACCCTTCGACAGTCGCGGGGACGGCCTGCCGCCGTCGCCAAAGGGGAGCACACTGTCCCTACCCCTGCTTTCTTATCTTTTTCTCCGGTGGCGAGGAGCACACCTTCCCCCGCTGCCTTCACTCCCGGCATCTGTCTGTCCACTTTCCAGGCCTCGGGTCCCCGAGGCCTGAGAAACCGCGGTCGCGGCTTGGGACCTGTAAACTGGAGAATTAGCCCTGGGGAAAGGATACGTGGGGAAAGTCACAGCGAGGCGCTCCCCTGTCCCTGGATACAGAGGTTGTTTCGGTCTCCAGGGCTCCTGGACCTGCTAGTAGCCTGAATCGAAAAGGACGGGGATAGACCTGTACTATTCCCTCTCATCACCTCCTGCTGGAAAGGGTGTGAGGCCGACAGGTGCTGGGGTCGTGTGAATCTCTCTCGAGTCCCGAAACGGTGCCCGGGTTGGCAAAGCCCTCTGTTGTGGCTTGATATGATTGGTTGGGAACCCGGAACTGGAGATTGGTTTGGTGTCCACTGGGGAATGAAGGTGGAGGCTGTTACTACTTGAAATCCTCGGTCCAAGGACTCCCTCAAATTTTTGTTACAGCCCCCTCCTCCAAATTTAAACAGAGTTCTGCTGTGCTCCTGATTTGAGAATGATCACATTTTTTGCAGACATATGCACTCATTCCTTGACTCCCTCACCTGCTCAGCTCCATCCCATCTTATAAAGGAATCTTTCCTCAGCCCCCTTTCCTCCGAAGTACATCTTGAGTGTGCAACCTAAGTAATCTAGGCTGTAGGTCAGATAGAGACAAAAGTGAAGAACTAACTCCATATGGAAAAAAATGACATACCTTCAATTGAGCTGTCATACACTACTTAAAAAAACTTTAATTGTAGATTTTTTAAAAGTTGAAGATGGATATTAAGTCAAAATCACTTTCTTTACGATGTAAAAACGCGATTGACTCAGGAAGTCACATAGCTGGTTAGCAACAGAAACTGGGACTTGAGTCAGGTCTCTAGACTTACAGTGCTTTTTTCACCATAGATTAAAATTTTAATATTTGTGTTTAAAATAGATTCTCTCTCTCTTTCTTCCTCTTCTCACCCTACTCTCTTCCACCGTTCCCCTCAAACTCCCCTTCTCCTTTTTCTCTTTCATCTGTGATTTGCAAGCCACATTAGAAGAAACAGTATTCAATACTTGAACCTTTTCAGGGGAAAAGCACTATTAAAAAACCTAAAGGGGATGTCATAGTATTTTTGAGAACTAAAAATTGTATGTAAACCTGGTAATATTAAATGATCAGGTATTGTATTGCCACTTATAATTATACAGCAATAAATGGCGCCTGTATATAGGAAAATAGTCTGTATAGAGTTGGTTTTTGGTCATTTCATTATACACTGTGGTTCTCTTTTCCTTCTAGAAGTACTGGAATAATACTCATTATTATTAGAGACTACTCTCTCTTTAAGGACACTAGATAATATTCTTTTCCTTATCCATAAAGTGGCCTGAAATATGAATAGTCTGCCAGAAATTACTTTTAGGTTACAAAACAAAGCAAAACAAAAAAAAACAAACAAACCCACAAAACAAACAAACAAAACACAAAGGGAAATGAATCTTAAAACAGTGGAAAGAAAAATTGACACTGAATAAGAAAACTACATCTGATACACTTTTTTTGAATGGTATGTTTGATTGCAGAGCTAAGTTAGGAGAAAGAATTTATTTTCAGATAACTCATACTTTTTACAGAAAACCTGAAAATCCAGTTAAAGATTAAAAAGGGAATTTTTTTCTGGTAATTCTAAAATCTAGTTAACATTTTGCGTATTTACCTAAGTAAATGTAGAGGAAAAGGAACTTAGAAATCATTTTAGTGAATATCTGTAAAGATTAATGGGCTGGAAAATAAAGCCCCAGAAAAGGTTTAATAAACCAGAATTACAAGACAAGCTAGATTCAGTTTGAACACAGTGTTTACCAAAGTAGTTTTAGTAATATATATCAGTTAGCAAATATTTATAAAACATCTGTCTAATAATAATTTGAGTTATTTATCTAATTGGAAATTCTGTCTTAGTGATGGAACTTGCTTACTTAATATCTTACCTGTCTGAAAATATGTCCTTTATCTTCCTCAAAGTACTTTCTTCCTCTTCCCTCACTGTCCCCCTCAGACTTGTTTATTCCCTCCCATGTGCAGCCATTGAATATTTAAGTTTCTACCTAGCTGAGGTAATCATTTTTTTCTTAAATGGCCTGTTCTAAAAATACATATATTCTCTTACTCCAAGAATTTTTTTTTCAGGCAAACTCTACCTCAGCCCTAAATAACTACATCTCTCCAGACTTGGTGGTGTTCATAAGGTAACAGCTGAAACATATAATCCTAAATGCCTGTGGGCAAGTAGTTTTCCCTGATAGCAAAGGCATTTTGGAATATCACTCTATGCCTAAAACGCTCATTGTAATCATTTTTTCCCTGGGCATAAATACAGAATTATAAAAAATGTATAAAAGATACACATGCAGTGATATTTATTGAAACTCTCCAAATATATCCTTAGGTAACATTTCTAGAGTTATATTTCTTGGATCCCATGGTATGTCTGTTATTTAGAATTTCTGATACATTGTACCAAATTGCTCTACTGAAAAGTTGTACCAATGTGTATTCCTACCAACAGTGTATGTGTATTCTTACTTCCTCACACTCTAATCAATCAGTGGGTATTTTGTAATATGCGCCAGTTTAGTAGACCAAAAATGGTATCTGATTTAATGTACATTTATTTGATTGCAACCAAACTTGAATATTTTTCATATTTATTAACCATTTATATTTCTGTATGTATATAATGTAAACATTTATGTTATTTCCCTTTCTAAAAAAAGTTTACTTTTACTTCCTCCAGTAATTCAGAATAATCCACAAGATACAAAAGTTTACTTTTACTTCCTCCAGTAATTCAGAATAATTCACAAGATACGAAAGTTTACTTTTACTTCCTCCAGTAATTCAGAATAATTCACAAGATACAATTTAAGAGCACTGGGAAGTATTATTACTTTATTCACTTACTGTTCGTTCAAGAGGTAGAATAGTGCCAAGAATACTGGACTAGATGTTAGATCATCTACGCACAAGTTACAAGTCTTCTATATACTTAACACTATAACCTAGGATAAATCACTTAACTGAATTTTTTGTAAGCACTTTGGATTTGATGATTCAGTGATTCTTTGTGTAGTCTGTCTTTTTTTTACCAAAAGGATATTTTTCTAAATCTCCTAATTAATAGACTTATTATTTGATTGGGTATTTCCTCAAAAAACTTCTAGCTTTTCAACAAGTTTCAGGTCTGTGCCCCCTCACCCTGTTATCCAGTGTAAAGAATAGCATGTTTTGGTCACAGCTCTCCTGACATTGACACTTGCTGTGCTATTTCATCTAACCAAGTAAGTGATTAAAAATAGTTGGACTTTTCACAGTGTTTATTGATTGTTAGCCTACCTTTCATTCCATAGAGAGGAGCTGTCTGTGATCCAGGCTGTAGGAACTTTATTTCTTGGTGTTATTCTTTCCTTGTCTCCTGTCATTTGAATGCCTGTTTGCTATTTGCTATGAAAGAGAAAAAGATAGTATTTGAAATTCATATCATGCTTCCAAGAAATTTATAATTTGGTAGGGGAGAGAAGATGTGTATGTGAATAATTAGAATTCCAAAAGGAAAGTGATAGATGCCCTAAGATATTTATCTATGTGAATTATAGATCTTGTTACACAGAAGTGTGGCTGTGAACCTAAGCATCTGCATCACCTGGAAGCTGCTTCTAGCATCCTTACATCAGGCCCACTGATTCAGAATCTGCACTTTAACAACATACCCAACTGATCCATATGTACCCATTTATGAGAAGGACAGTTATGGGTGTTTGAAATAGGCATTGTGTATTCAATGGGAGAATCAGAATGTCTTATTGAAAAAAGATGAGAGTAGGGCCTTAAAAGGTTAAATTGATAGGTTTTTAAGCCCTGAATGGAATAAATTTAAAAAGGGTCAATAACTTAATAAATCTTTAACATGAATACTTTTTTTTTTTTTTTCTTTTGTTCGGTTTTGCTTTTTTAAGAAGTCTTGCCATCTGGTTTGCTGACATGCCAGATGTCAGAATTGGCCCTAACGAAGCTAGCAAACCCTTTGGCCAATTTCCATGAGGACAGCTCATTATTACCCTAGCCAAAATAAAGATCATGGTCTTTAGTGGATTCTCACAGCATTCCGATTACTCCATTCAGGAGAGGAGGGAAAAATGCCACTTTGCAGAAGTCTCTTGTGTAATGCTGAAGATCTCAGGTCTTGGTTCTGTCCTTGAGAAGATTGCAAACAAATTCTAACTGCGTTGATTCCCTTGGTAGTATTGTGGTCAAGATCTCTGATTTTTCCAGCCCTGTGATTTTCTCATTATGCAGAACCTTGAGCATTATATTTTAGTGCATCTAATTTTTAGTCACCTGAGTTCGTAGACATG